TCCCTCTTCACACGACTTGGAAATCTAGAAAACCTCTGGCAATACCCACAAACAGCTAAATGATTCTTCAGACACATCATACCTTGACAACCACATAGCCTTCCTTTTTGTCCATCTCCCCCAGTAATGCAGACAGCAGTGAAGACTTTCCACAGCCAACTTGACCAACAACAGCTACCAAGGAACCCTCAGGAACAGTGAAATTAATGCTGAAATAAAGTGCATGGAATTCAGCCTTGCTCAATGACACATCCCAGTAGGTAAAAACAGTCTGTATAAAGCCAGATGCAATGTGAACACCTGCTGCACATGCCAACACAGCACAGAAACTCTGAAAATGCAAACCTCTCATTCAGAAAGCACTCAGCTCTTATACTTAGGATGTAGCATCTTAATATGTAGTCAATCAAAAGGGGAAGAAAAAAAAAAAAAAGCCCCATGTCCTGGTTTGGGGTATAACAAACAACTGTGACACAACCCGTTGAACACTTCTCTCAGATGTTCTGTGAATGTATATGTCAATACCAATGGATGCTTCCCCAACAGCATCTTTGTCCCTCAGAATAGGCAATTTAAGACCCAAGAAAGAGCAGACAAAATTAAGGAAGGGGTGAGGACAGAGGGAAGACACCATTTGTAGCTGCATCACCCCAGTTACTTCATTAGTCACACCACGTGCAAGGTTCTTCATTGGTCTTCTCCAGCACAGGAATCAAGGATGGCTACAGTTCAGCAAGAGTAAGATTCTAAAAGGCAGACTCTCAGGACGCTGTGCAAACATGAGGGACTAGGGATGACTACAAGGGGCTAAATGTGGCTGCATCCTCTAGATGGAGCTCATCCCACCTGCAGCACATAGAGCTAGCTTGAAATCTGAGGCTTTCCCTCCACACACTGTACCTCTTGCTATTCCCCTTTATGCTTTCCATACACACAACATACTTTGTCAATTCCTCTAGTTCATGAAGCCCCTGGTTTTAAAAAAGATACAGAACAAATGTTACTTGTTCCCCTATTCCTTTAAGGCAACAAACTCTTCTTCAGAAGGTGTTTCATAACTCAAATGCAGATTATTTATGACACGTCATGATTATGGGACAGAACAAAGGGTACTAATTCTTACCTGTTCAGTGAAGGAGGATCAGCTTTGGACCAGCTAAACGTTGCATTCTTTACAACAATACATCCTTCAGCTGACAAAGAAAATTCACATTTACAAAAGTGCTACCACAAGCAGCTAAATTGTATTCTCTGGATGATGCCATAGAAGTCAATCTAAACACACACAGGCAGATGTAGAAAGCTACTTCTCCAGCAGAACAACCCACTGCTTACAAAAAGCTTGTATTCTGCTTTTACTGAATTTATCAAAACAGCAGAGGTTCTGAGGTTACAGAATCTGTCACCAGGAGGTAGCTGAACATCAAGAATATAAAGATCCTGACTTATTCAGCTCCATCCTCCTTTATCCAGCAACTCAACTGCAGCACTGTGAAGTCAGCTGAAGAAGGTAGCAGCCTCAGTCTGACTCATGCTTCAGCAGAAGCATCAGTTTAATTGTCAATGCTATGTGTGAAGCCAAGTTACCACAAGAATGATAGGGCTAAATAAATCAAATTACCAAATAAAATAGCTTTCACCAAAATAAGTGTTCAGTGAAACGTTGCATGGCACTGGCATCTGGAGATTTTTATAGCAACAGCTCAAAATATAACACTTTTAATTCAACCAAGTATGCAATAAGTACTTAGCTTAGATAAACAGTATGAAAGTACAACCCACTATGGGCAAAAAACCAGCCCCAAAGCCCCACATTAAACATTTGACAGCAATGTATTCATGGTTATCAGATGAGAAACAGGAGGAGATATTCCCAAAAGGAAAACAGAGAGGAAAAAAAAAAAAAAACAATTTCAAATGGAGCAGATAACTGCTTAGCAGAAAGCCAAGTGACTAAAGTGATACAGAGCTGAGCTAACCACATGGGGGGGAATGATGGGGATTTCATTATCTTCATAAAAAGGAAGTAAGAAAAATCATATAAAAATGACTGATGTAGTTAAAGTCAAGTTAATCCTCGTTTTGTAAGAAAAAGGGCGTTGGTTTTTCAGTAAATCTGCCTTCATGCTTCCCTGTCTCCCAAGCAGCTCCGTGTAACGGGACCAGCAGCACTGCAGGCAGTGGGAGTGATGCTGGGAGCAATGCTCTTCACACAGACCAGACAGCAGAGGCATTTACCAGAACAGGGACTTAACCTTTCTCCTTCAACACTGCTCAAGTGTCACATGACTGATCTCCAAAATGCTGGGTGCTGGCACAGCATTAATTACCATTCTGTTAACTGCCTACAGATTTCAAATGGCTACACTTAAAACAGTCTAACAAGTAATTTACAAAGTGACCATCTGCATCTGAATGCAACCATCTGGTAGTTTGGACAAAGGAGTTGGGGAGAGGAAAGAAGTTACCTGTGAAGGTGGTAGAAACTTTATATAATTTTCATTTTACAAACTCCCTTCTCTGCTTCCTGGACAAAATTCATCAGTAATTTTTTTTACAGAGAGCAGAAGAAACACTGCCAACACATGCAAAACCTGCACAGTGATTTTCAACATGAAAAGAAACTCACCCTGTGTGATGGGGCTCCTGATTATGCTATCTGGATCTAACTCTTCATGGGATAGGAACGCCCTAAGGCGCTTCAAGGAGACACTGGCCTGCATGGGAAAGGGATGTAAGGTTACCTTATACTTTGCCCATTATATTTAAGAAGTTGTAATGTATATGTGGTACAAAACAACATCATTATTATCCACTCCTAACCATTCCTTAAATCCATTGCATAGTTTCTTGGATAGTCCAACTCGCACTTCCCAAACCACAAGAAATACGGTTGATTTCAGGAACACCCACCCACCATACCTGGGATTGGTAATTCTGCTTGCACAGCACATAGCATGTAAGGAATGCAAAGCTCCCTTTTTGAGGTGACTGGATTTCACCAGTGGACATTCTCTAAGCACAAGAATGTAATCTTTCCACCCAATGGCTACTTCTGCACATAAACACCTGTCAGTGACCGAAATCTTACTTCTACTATGTTGCTGATAACCATGGGAAGCATGTTCAGTGGAAACCTGAGGATGTTGAACAACGCTAGGGAAACAAACGCCTTCTGAGCATCCAAGATGTTTTTCTTGTCTATTGTGACATATACAGCAAACGTGGACAAGGCAACCTGAAACAAAGTGTAACGGTTACACAGGATAACATTTCTTAAGGCTGCTAAACTCAGCATTCATACAGTCTAACAAGAGGAACCAGAGGTCTACAAATCAAAAAAAGAGTAACGTTCTGGTAACCTCCTCGTTCCTTCCACTTTTTGCAAAACAAACATTTGATTTAAATCAAAGAAGTTCATGGATGCTCTTGGAAAGGTGTCCAGAGTTCGCTTTCTGTACATAGCGAGGATGAAGCCACAAAATGTCCCAGGCTACCTGTGGTCACAGTGCAGGAAAGGAGAGGAACAATCACTAGTCTTCCTTGCTCTCTTCTGGTTTTAGGCACTCCCCATGCTGGGGATACTGGATCAATAATACATACAGCTAGAAACATCCCAAGGCTAACCCATTTTATATCTTCTAAAGACTACCACAATCCTGTATTTCCAAGTACTGCCCACTTTATCATGGACTAATTGTTTTCTAAGAAACATGAAATGCTATTGCATTACAAAGATGATGCCTTACAGTGCCTAAGCAGTTCACAGCAGAAAAGCTTAAGATCCATGCTGAACAAGAAAATTACACTGAACCATTGTTACAGTCAATCATAAGGTATTAAAAATGTAAATATATGGATTTAAAAATTATTTTAATGTGTTGATTAAATTATAGTAAAATTAAAGTAAGCTAAGTAAAACCAACTGTTCACCTTCAGATCTCTTCCCTTCACAGTGCCTTCTTCCATAGTAACAACACTGATACTTCAGTACATCCTAAGATCAGCAACTCTTT